ATACTGCACCTGACTCGACGGCAGTCTCCTCCACTCCGAAATGCATCATCAAGTGAGTTGTGTTATGTTTGGTTGCCGTTTTTTTATTGTTAACGTTATAGGATAATAAGATGGGGAATATAAATTGTGCAATTGGTCATAATAGTAATGATAATAATAATGGCTCTATGAATAACAAGGATGGAGAAGTCAGGCGATATGGGATAACACGAATAACGAAAAACAGCATGAATAAACAAACAAATGTGTTCAGGTAGATATAGTCGGCCTGCGAATTTTGGGCTACCGATATCCACGCTGAAAATTCCATACACGTACCAAAAATACGGTGCGGAATCAAGCTGTAATAAAAAATAAATAAAATAAAAAAATTGTAGTCGATAAAGGTTAAGAAAAACAAATGAACCGATTAAGTAATGCTAGATTGTAAGGGAAGTAAATGAAACACATTTTCAATGAAGATGTGATAAAATTAAGGGATTAAGATATGAGAGGGGTTAAAAATATAAGTAAGGGGTGGTGTAGAAGTCATCAGTTGGTTATGTCTTAATAGGCCAACAATGGAGAGATAATGGCCTAGTTACGTGTCCATTAAATATAAAAGAAATGTTGTTAAATTTCTTACGAGCAAAGCAAGAAAGGTATGTACGGATGACCTCCTACAAAAGGAATTTGAATATATTCACGATTCCTTAACGGAGATGGTCTACCCGAGTAGTTTCATAAAGACACATGTGAAAACATTGGAGATAAAACCTGAGAATAATACGACAGCACAGAAAAGCCCCTACTTATTAAGTTGCAAATTAATGACGACTTACCAAGTGAGATTTTATTCCAGAGACTTTCCAGAAGTATACGAGGAACGTTTTACGCAGCATAACTATGTTTGTCATTCTCTAACCGATGAATGATTGGGACGCAAACGAAGGATAAGCTAGATAGTTTTACCAAATCTATGCGCATTTATTAATTCAACTGCATCTGTGGTGACAGTTATGTTGAGCATACTACTAGACAGCTTAGCCAACGAACGTGTTAGTGAACATCTCTCATCGTGGTTTGGCGAAGGACAGACAAAAACAATCCGTAGCCCAATTTTGTCACATTTAATTGATAGTGGTCATGTAATGGAGGAAACTAGAGCTTTCTAAGTAATTCATCGTATCATACGTAATCTTTCTAATAGACTTCGTATTCGTCTATTGCACACAGCTGAGGCGATAGGCATTCGAGCTATTGAACCTAAATTATGCATTCAAAAGAAGTTCGCACGCAGCCATTATCCCTCCCTTGTTGGCCTATTAAGAGATAACCAACTGATGACTTCTACGCCACCCCTTCCTTACTTATATTTTCAACCCCTCTCCTATCATCCCTTAATCTTATCACATCCTCAATAAAAACGTGTTTCATTTACTTCCCTTACAATCTAACATTACTTAGTTGGTTCATTTGTTTTTACTAGCCTTTATCGACTACTATATCTACCTGAACACATTTGTTTGTTTATTCATGCTGTTTTTCGCTATTCGTGTTATTACAGATCGCCTCACTTTTTCATCCTTATTATTGTTGACGTTATAGGTAGTTTTAATTTCCATATGTAATGTGTACTTTTTATAAAAATATTGTTACCATGAGGACAAGTGTGTATGTGCAGCTCATCTTTTTTTCGCTATCGCGGATGGAACTGATGTCCTCTTGGAGATTCCAACCCGTACCACTAAAAATGTTAGCCTACGAGTGACCTGTATGACTGTAATCCTTACGCGGATTCGTCAGTCACTATGAATGAAGTAACCAATGTGTCACACCCTTAGTCTTCAGTGTCTCTATTGGGTGGATGCTATCATAGTCAAGTGGGCCCGCATAACTCGGTGGTCATATTTCTCTGTGTACAGCATTGAGTAAGGTGAGTTCGAACCTCCGATGGGCATCACTTCTTTTGGAGGTTGCAGGTAAATGCCTTATATCAAATGAGATGGTTAGGACATGTGTTACATATGACTAGACATCACGTTTCTCGACAACGGCAAATGTTAGCTAACATAGGATAAGGTTGAAAAAAATCCAGTGGTGGTCAAACCAAAATACGGCTTCATCAGTCAATGAAATCCAAAAAAGTTAGTTTAGGCCAGACATGTAGGAAGGTGTAGACTTCCTGGTTGTGGTCCTCGGGACGGCAAACACAAATGGCTAGAGACAATTGGTGATATGGCTCAAAATCGTCCTCAATGGCGCAGTTACATCCACTCTTTGTGACTTATAATATCCTATAAAACTATATGGCTCTTCGATATTACTATTCTTTCTTCCATTATGGATAAATTTTGTTCTGATAAAATCTCAGTGTTGTACGGTAAGTAATATTTACTGATGACGTTTCGAGCAAAATTTATTGTTCATAATCATATCAAGGTACTCACACGACTTCCTAACTTCATTCATATAGTTCCATTATTTTTCATTTGATTTTCACTTGATTTGATTGGTAGTAGTATTTTCCATATTTCGGGTATGAGTGATGAATCATTTCTATTGCATGTGTTTGGTGTAGACTTCGATGAACAAGGCAGGATTCAGTAATCAACCTCTCCCTCCACCTACCTAGATTACTTTTTAGAATTTTAACCCTCTCCCACCCTATTGTGTGGTTATGTGTTAATGCGTGAAGTGAAATTGCTGAGTTTGTTTCTAAATTACTTACCTTCTTGGGGTCAACCGTTCTAACCTTTGCTAAATTCTTATGTTCTGACAATCTGACCACCTGTGACCTACTAGTTTGACCTATGTAGTTGACCTCACAGTCATTGCAGGGTATTTTGTAAATCTTATTATTTTGTCTAATTGGGTCACTCTCTCCACAAGTAAAGGGAATAAAATTCACATTTGAAGCGGAAAATGAACAAGGAGAATTAGCTATGTTAGATTGTAAAATAAAACGAATAGAAGAGGGTAAACTACACACAAGCGTTTATAAACAACCAGCGCATTCTAATAGACATTTAGACTTGAATTCATCTCATCCGTTAACTTTTAAGGCAGGCTTAGTTAAGTGTCTAATGAACCGAGCATTAGCACTAAGTCGCACAAGGAAAGACCTAAATGATGAAATAAAACAGATAGAAGAGGCGTTGGTGTTAAATAACTATCCTATAAAATTCACGTAGGATTCTTATTAAAGCAGGAATGGTGGTGGCACTTAAACCTACAAACTCACTCAGGTAGCACAAGCTCTCCTTGTTAAAGGACCCAGTTGACCCAATTAGACAAAATAATAAGATTTACAAAATACCCTGCAATGACTGTGAGGTCAACTACATAGGTCAAACTAGTAGGTCACAGGTGGTCAGATTGTCAGAACATAAGAATTTAGCAAAGGTTAGAACGGTTGACCCCAAGAAGGTAAGTAATTTAGAAACAAACTCAGCAATTTCACTTCACGCATTAACACATAACCGCACAATAGGGTGGGAGAGGGTTAAAATTCTAAAAAGTAATCTAGGTAGGTGGAGGGAGAGGTTGATTACTGAATCCTGCCTTGTTCATTGAGTCTACACCAAACACATGCAATAGAAATGATTCATCACTCATACCCGAAATATGGAAAATACTACTACCAATCAAATCAAGTGAAAATCAAATGAAAAATAATGGAACTATATGAATGGAGTTAGGAGTTCAGCCTGCACCCAAGATCAATGGCTGGACACATGATCACATTCTAATGACTAATTAGCAGGACTCATCATTGTCAAATAAGTGCAAAATATTGGCATGCAATTTGACCATAAACCGACAAGACGAAGTCCAATATGACTTGAATAATTCAATGTCCAGTGGTCAACGTTTTTACATCATACTAAACAATTTTATTAGTACCATACAGTTAAGTTCGTCGTTTTTTCTCTCATACTTTGAGTTCCGAATGGAGAATTGGGCTTTCAGCTTTGAAGTTCCAGTAGTAGTGGTGGTGGTGATGATTTTGTGGAGTAGTGGAGTTAATATTCGTTTTTTAGGTTAACCACCGGCTAGTTGTGGTTTATGAGTGCATCGTGTGGGAATCGAACTCTGCAACCACTTGAATGTTTAGCGAGTATTCTACCAAATGCTCACGTGGCTTGTGTTACTACATGTAAGTAAGTAATCATTTAGCCGTATACTTTCGATCTCCCATACCTTCGCAATCTTTTTAAAGTGTGATATGTATCCACATGATGTGTGTTTTGTTTTTGACAGTCTGTTATATTTTGCTGTGTATATGGATCGATATTTCATTATAACTCACAATATGCTTTTGTCTGTCCACTAACTAAATAAACATGCATGACCTTGTTGTCACATGACATTACAACCAATCATGTTAAGACTGGCTATTTATTGATTCATGTGTATTAGTCATTTTCATATATACTTTTGTGCTGTACACTTTAGCATTCTTGTTCACACGTTTCGTACATAACGTACCATTTCACTCACACTCTTGTGTGACATTTATTTTCCTTGTCTGGAAAATACAAGTATCATCGTAAACCTGGTGGTCTTCTGATTTACCTCTCTACGCGTCATGGCTATTAACTACTCGACGAGTACATAATGGTGTGGAGTTGAATTCTCATTTGAAGTTATTTGGCAGGACCTGCAAGAACATTAGTTCCAGCTGATGTAGCTTGCTAGGCCATTGTAATATGCAAGCCCGACCACCACGTCAAGCTGACAGCTCTCGGTCGAGAATGGGACGGAATAGATGTTAAGTTCCTCCCCTGGTTAGCAATAGTTCTCTAACTGAAGTTAGTCTGTGAGGAGACATGAATCAAACAAGTGCCTTCAGAAACCACAACATCTTGTGATAAAATTCACTTAAAATTAATCATATATTACTTATTACTTAGTTCATCTTAACTTTTTAGTGCTCACTTATTATAACTGTTTCGTCTGTTAACCGCTTTTAGAAAAGGGTGTAAAACGCAACCCCACGCCTCAAGATAACGAAGTTAATGATAATAATAATAATGGAAAAACTCCAGGTTAGTTTTTGTGCATCTTTTTATTGTCGTATAAATATTCGTTTGTACAGTTGTTTTGTTTAGTGCTTAATTCGCCACTAGCAACCATAATAATAATAATATGCTTTATGCCAAAACAGTAATTGTGATACAGAATGGAATTCTCAGCATTTCTATCCAGATAGTACAATATCAATAAATAAAATTCTACATAGATTATGGCTAGTCTCATTTAGTTTTGACAACAACATATTGGCATATCGGTAGCAAAGCCGAAATTGAACAGATTGTTTGAAGGTATTAGAAAAGTAGAGGCTAGCATATTTAGTGGCGTAAGTGGTAACAAGAAGGTCGAGATATACCGACTGTATAAGAACGAATAAGAATGTTTTAAATAGAGTTTGTAAGGAAGAAAGAAACAAAGCGGCACATAACAGAAAAAGAGAGAAAAGGAAAAGAGAGAAAGAAAACCTTGTACCTATAAATGATATGAGTTGGAAAGACGAGATCCATTTGTTCTACTGACTATTTAATAATAATAATAATAATAAGTTTCATGCCTAATGCTTTCTTCATCGCACAGAACATGACCTAAGTAGGGTATGGTTGAGGTTTTCTACTTACTAGTGCGAGCAAATAGTTTTCTAGACGACAACTTGAAGTCGTCTAACAACTGCCACCCCGCGATTCAGTTCACGCTGGAGAAAGATTCCAACTCTAAAATATCCTTTCTTGACGTCCAACTGACAAGACGAGAACAGGATGGAACACTGTAAAGATCTATCTACAGAAAGTCGACGTGGAACGGACAGCTTACTAACTTTCACAATTGGGTACCTCTACACACCAAACGAAACCTGATCTGTTCACTCAGCTACAGAGTTCGCAGAATTTGCACCCCGGATACCATAGAAGATGAACTGGACAATTTCAAGAGAATCCTCGTAGAGAATTGTTATCCAGAACAATTTATTGCAAAATCTATGAATCCTAGACTAAAAAAGCCGCCCATGCTTAGCCTCCCAAAAAAACTACTCTATATGAACCTTCAATTCAATGGAGATATATCCGCGGAAACACTAAAAAATCGACTGTCGCGCTCACTTAAGAAAACCTTCTTCACAGCTGAACTACGCGAATAACCCTCTCCACGAAACCTATGATTTGTATGAACGTGAAGGATGAGCTACCACTGCTGACCTCATCAATGTGTATCTATCAATTCACCTGCTCGTGTGGAGCCAGGTATGTCGTCCGTACCCGGCGTTCGCTTTCCAAACGTTTCACCGAACACTTACTAACATGGTTTTACAAAGGAGAGAAATGATGCCGCCGCAGCTCCATCTTAGAACATCTGATAGAATCCGGACACCAAGCTACACTCCAAACAAACTTCAAAGTCGTCTACAGAGTAAGAAGTAGTCTTCCTAAAGGTGTACGAATCAGACTTCTTCAAACTGCAGAAGCAATGGCGATTCACTTGCTAAGTCCTGAACTCCGCATACAGAAGAAGTTCGTTCAATCACTACACTTGCAATGGACGTAATCTATCTTATTACCCGACTAGTAAATTCTACCTTATCTCTTTTTTCCGTCTCGTCATTAGTATTATTTTGTCTTCTCAATTGTAATATCTTACATTTTCAACCTTCTTGTTCTCTAACCCCACCCGATTCAATTTCTACACCTCACTACCACTGTTACTGACTTGACCAACGCTCAATTTCTAGTCATTCATTTATGTTACGTCATCCAATTTATTCGCTCAATTTCAGTTCTTATTTAAATAGCACTGTTCTCTACCCCACTTCTACATAGTCTCTACCTGTAATTACCTCTGTTGCTACCCTGACCTAAGTTGAAACATTTTTAGTCAATTATATTGTGTCATCTAACTTACTAACTCAATCTTACTTTAGTTGCTGTCTGATTAACCTTGTTTCTATATTAGATCATTCTTTTATTACCTGATCAATTATCTAAACTTGACAAACCTCATGTACACACACACACACACAAATAATTATATATAAATGTGCTGTACAGCTATGTGATTGAATTCGCCGAAAAGAGTGTTTTCGCTGAACGTCTTCTCTTTTTCATATCCCATGTCTAGCAAGATTTTTATGCTACAATTACCTAGTTGACCCCGATCGACTAGTTCGACCTATATAATTGACCTCACTAACAGTCATTACATGCATGGTATTTGGTAAATTATATTACTTTTCTTAATTGGATCTATTCGGTCCTTAGGCCGACAAAGTAAATCTCTGAGATAGTTGGTTGTTTCGTTTATATGCCACCCTAATTCCAGCGTGATTGAGAATTCTACGTAAGGCCTCTGATATCTCTTCTTTATACAGCAGTGCTACAGAGAGGCTTTGAATTCAATATCATTTTCGTCACTCTCATTGCTAGTCTCAGCTTTTCTATGCTTCTTCTAATATACTTCTGAATAAATCCTGGTGGCTAGTGTGTTATTCACTAGTAATACTACCTTTATCTGTTTGATTTCGTTATTCAAATATTCTGACTTACTAGTTAGGCTGTTGGTCCGATTTATGATATAGACTTTTAACTAAACCCATCTGTACCACCGATTCTGGATGGGATGAATTAAAGTCTAAGTATTTTGCATTAGAGTGTGTCGGCTTCCTTTCTATAAATGCTAGCTAGTATCTAACCACCCACCATCTCTTTTTCCTTTTATTCTAGTCTAGCATGACCAACTCACCTTGTTCGTTTTCTAACTTTATATGTGTAAAAACCTGAGGGATATGTTCAGATTTCAACACAGTGATGGAATGTGCCATCTACCATAACCTAGGAGCAGCAGGTTCTAAGAGCCTTACGTTCCCAACTATTCATAAATATATCTGCACCTATTGGGGATCCCATTTCCTTGTTTATAAAGTTTATTTTTTATTTAAACGCAGAAAAAACTCGGTACAAATATGGAACCAAGAAAGATGCGTCACACAGTTTTATTTCATTTTTTGTGTGAAGGCTGAGACACTGCCCGGGCGCCCAGACCGAAGCAGGTGGTTTTATTAAGGGACCACCCCCGGAGCCTTTGACTTGGAGTCTAATCCGCAAGGCAGCGGAGCAGTGTCAGGAGCTGCATTCCCATGGTTGCCGGTGACCCCATATGGGTTCATACGCCATTTGATCCGACTGGATTCTGGAGTCCATGTACCCCATGATAACTGCTTTTAGTTTAACCGCTATCCAAACAACCTTCCTGACATGGTAGGACCCGCAGGGACATGAGCTCCAGCCAGTTTAGCTTGTTGGGACATTGCGGTATTCAAGCCCGACCACCACGACAAGGTGGTAGCAGTTGTCGACCGGGATAGTTTATTTTGGAATTTGAATAAAGTCGAGGTTAGACAACATAACTGGACACCTAATGTGATTTCATCAACCGACAGCAGAGCTTAGTCCTTCTTCTGAGTTCAGGATCAATGTTCATTTCATTACTAATTGCCTCCAGAGTTGTACTCAATGCGGGAATATCAGTATGTAGACTGGTTATGTCAAAACTAATCACTTGTTTTCGTCTTTTTCTAATTGAATTTCCTCTAGTCCACCTTATTATGTAACTGTATCAAGCTTATTCAACTTCCTTGATATGTTAATGAATGTTTTTTAGACAACACATTTTCACCCCTCTCCACCACCCCCTTCTCACCTAGTTATATACATATGTCTGTCTGTCTATCTGTTTTCGACATAGAACTTTGCACAAATGTGCGGAAGTTCAAGTCGCCACATTCCGTGTAGCACGCGAAGCAAGAGAAGAAAGTACAAGAAAAGCATAATAGAAACAGTGGGCAAAGGTGTGAGACAAAGGAGTAATAAAGAAATACAAAACAGTTTCATTGAAGATCATAAGTCACAGGGAGTGGATGCATCTGCGCCACTGAGAACGGTTTTGAGCCATGTCACCAATTGTTTCCAACCATAGATTTTTACCGTCCCGAGGACCCCAGCCTGGAAGTCTACCCCTTTCTACGTGGCTTAGACCAACTGTTGTGGATTTCATTGACTGATGCCAAGTTTTTGTTTGACCGCCGCTAGCTTTTTTCCAGTCTGACCCTATATCCGCTAACATAGCTCGTCGAGGGAGGCGATGGCTTGGCATACGTAACACATGTCCTAACCATCTCAGTCTTTGTAGCTTCACGACTTCGTCGATTGATTTCCCCTGTTTACCTAGAACTCTACGCCTAACCTCCATGTTGCTCACCTTATTATGCCACTTTACACGGGAAATAGAACACAGGCACCTATGATCAAAGACAGCTAGTCTTTTCATGTCTTCCACTCTCAGTGGCCAGGTCTCACAACCATAAAGGAGGACGGAGCGGACTGATGAGCAGTACACCCGCCCTTTGGTCGATAGTCGAACATCTCGTCTACGCCAGAGTCGGCGTAAACTAACAAATGCGAAACGAGCCTCTTGTATTCGTGCTGAGATTTCGTCAGAGATCAGCCCGTTGGGGCTGATGGTACTTCCCAAATAAGTGAAGCGGTCAACGTGCTCTACCACTTCACTTCCTATTTTTAAACTAGGCGTCGATGTAGTCCAGTCCTGTGACATCATCTTGCATTTGGCGGGAGCGAATCGCATGCCAAACATTCGTAGATTGCTGCTCAAGGTGTTTAGAAGACTCTGCATTTCGTCAGCGTCTTCGCCTAGAAGGACTATATCGTCTGCATATTCCAAGTCGACGAGATTATTCCCCGGTAGCAAGTCAATCCCTGAGTCGCTGAAGTCACCTAGGGTTAAGTCCATTAACACATCTATGATGAAGTTGAATAGAAAAGGAGATAATGGGCATCCTTGACGGACACCACTGGTCGTCATCAGTTCAGATGACAGCTCGCCGTAAGCCCTCACCTGGCTGTATGAGTACGAGTAGAGTGCCTTAATCAGTGCAATGTATTTTCTTGGAATTCCCTTTACAGCCAAGCATCTCCAGAGAACTTCCCAATCGACAGAGTCGAATGCTGCC